AGAGAGAGAGAGAGAGAGAGAGAGAGAGAGAGAGAGAGAGAGAGAGAGAGAGTTGTGTTGGGGGGTGTTTGCCAGGGAGAAGCTGGGATAGTTGGAATGAAAATGACCCCACAGACTCAGACTGGCACTATTGGGAGGTGTGGCCTTGTTGGAGTAGGCGTGGCAGTTTTTGGAGGAAGTGTCCCTGGTGCAGGCTTTGCAGTCTCATATACTCCAGCCCGGCCAGTGTGTCCCAGTCTCTTCCTGCTGCCTGTGGATCCAGATATAGAACTCTCAGCTACCTCTCCAGCACCATGTCTGCCTGCATACTGCCATGCTTCCTGCCATGATGATAACAGACTACACCTCTGAACTGTAAAAGGCAAGCACTTTATCATTGAGCCATACCTCCAATACTGTGTGTGTGTGTGTGTGTGTGTGACAGTCTCAGGTGCTTCATGTTTGGAGCCCCATGCATGCCAGGCAAGCACGTTCTCATTGAGCCACATCCCCAGTATTTGGTGTATGTGTGTGTGCATGCATGCATAAATGCCTGTGTGTGTGTGTGTGTGTGTGTGTGTGTGTGTGTGGTCTCAGGTGCTTCATGCTTGCCTTGATCAAATTAGCTATGTATCCCAGGATGACCTGGAGTGCTCCCGATCCTCTTGCTGCCACCTTCCAAGCCACCAGGCTCAGCTCCCTAGTCCAGTTTTTTAAAGGCCTCATAGTGGTGGCGGCAGCAGCGGCGGCGGCGGCGGCAGGGTGTTAAAATGCCAGGGGACACCATGTGGTGGTGCACGCCTTTAATCCCAGCACTATGGACACAGAGGCAGGTGGATCTCTGAGTTCCAGGCCAGCCAGAGTTACATTCATAGTGAGACCCTATTTCTCAAAACAAACAAGTGAAAAACAAAACACACAGAGAAACTGCCAGGGGAAACTTTGGCCGTAGTTGTGGAAAGTACGACTGACAGGCATTTCCCAGTGTGGTCCAAGATACACATTGATGAACCCTTGGGATGCTGATATCGAACTAATTAGCAGTAACTTGGAATGTGCCTTTCTGATTCCTTGCTCAAAGTCTGTTATTAATTAAGGGGTGATTAATTCTGGGCTCCCTCTAGGATCTGCAAGAAAGGTCTGAGGGGCACTGCTCAGGGGGATCTTTAAAATGACAAAAGGGGAAAGGGTTCCTTTCTTTTGAGACAGGCTCTCACGAAATCCAAGATGGCCTCAGACAATGGCAGCTGAGGCTGACCTCGAACCCCAGTCCCACTGCTTCCAGGTCCCTAATGCTGGTATCACAGACAGGGATGGCCCTGCTCGGCAGGAGGAAAGTCTCCACAATAGCACCCTCTCCTACACACACCTCACTTTCCCAATGGCCACCATTATAGTCTTCCTTTATTGGCTGTCCTTGTATAATACAAATCTGCAAGTTTAGATACAAAAAAAATCTGGAAATAAAAGATAGAAAAGTACCCGCCAGGCACCCCTTCCTCTTCTTCTGGGACCCTTCCCCAGCGGGCACCAACATGAGGTAACTGAGCGTCTTCATCCCTCCCCCCTCCCCCTCTCCTGGGTCCCCAATCGGGCCCCACCCCGTGATTCCTCGGCCCTCCGGAAGACATGGCCCCCCGAATGGGGGAGGGGGCTGGGCAAGCACAGCATTGGCAGTGAACGCAGCGTGGGCAGAGGGGAAGCCCTTGGCTTGTGCTGTGTGTATGGGGCGGGGAGGGGATGACCGGACTTGAGGTGGGCCCAGAAGCGCCCCTAAGGGACAACCCTCCTCCATCCTGCCCAACACTGGAAGGTGGAAGAAACTGGGGAAAGTAGCTCGAACCGAGGGCATTCCGTGTCTGGGGCCAGGGAAGGGGCATCGCCAGCCTAAGTCCGGCAGTGAAACGGTTCCCTTAGCCAGGCTGGGTCCATCCCTGAATTCCATCTTGGTGCAACCTAGGCATCACAATATTGGTTCTGTAGTGGTTTGTGAGGGGTGGCGGAGAGAAGGACTTAAAGGGAGCGGTGAGGGGCGCAGCCCGGGGAGCGGCAACAGGGGAGAGGCTGGGCCTCCCCTCCCGGGTGTGGTGCACCTGGGGCTGATGGAGTGGGCGCAGGGCAACTTGGGCTACAGTTCAATCTCGAAGGTCTTCTGCAAGTCACCCGAGAAAGGGTTGGCGGGCTTCTCCACAGCGGGTTTGCCTTCTAATGCTGCCCACTGGGCCTCAAAGGGGTCCAACTCAGGGGCTGGGGCAGGCGCTGGCTCTGGGGGCCAAGGGGCCCCATTGGGGCGTGGACGGGCCTGGCCACCAGGGGCACTGGGTGCAGCAGGTGGGGGGAAGGCCCCGGCTTTTCCAAGCAGTGTGGCAGGTTGGGGCTGGAGCTGGGCAGCTGAGCAGAAGGCGTTGGCCACCATCTGTGAAGGTGTGATGCCCACCACAGGCACCCGGGGCATGGGTGGATAACCCAGGCCTGGGTAGGCGGGCACAAACGGGGGCTGCATGTGTGTGGGTGGCAGGAACACGGCCACCTGGGCAGCTGCAGTGTCAAAGGGCCCCACTGGGGCAGAAAAGGGTGGAAGGGTGGGGGCCATGGCGGCCATTGGTGGCATGGAGGCTGCTTGCTGCTGTTGCTGCTGCTGTTGCTGCTGCTGCTGCTGCTGCTGCTGCTGCTGCGCTTTAGCTACCTGGGATACTTCCTCCAACCACCGCTCAGCCTCTGAAGGTGTCCGCTTGTGCCCAGGCTGGAAGGCAGCGGCAGGGGGTACAGAGGGCTCACCCCAGGCAGAAGTCCCTGGAGGGAGGCAAGTGAAAGGTGTAGGTTGCCATGAAGAATCCCAGACTAGGAGTCAGTGAGGCCTGGGGATCAGGGCAGCCAGGTTCTACAGCAAGACCGGCTGTGAATCCCAGCTCAATCCTCACTCGCTGTCCAGATGACCTTAACTCCTAACAGGTTTGCAGTGGGGAGAACGGGCAGTTCCAAGATTCCACAGCCCCTGGTGGAAATGTCTAAACAGATCAATGCTCCAGGCCCACACACTTCACGGCCAGCACTGTCTGATGTTAAAGAGTCCAACCACCGCTTTAACTCTATAACGTCTAGCACTATTTTCAGAGGCTGAGATTCTACGACCGCACATGTCTTTCTCAGACTGTACTACCCAACGCTGGAAGATCTCACTGTCTTGTGTCTGTACTTTACTAAGGTTCTGGGGGCACATGTTTAACCATTGGGCTTCTGAGACACTCCAGAGGTTGGAGAAGCCACGGCTCTCAGGTGATCTCTTGTTCCCAAGGCTCTGAGGCGACCCCATGGTTCTAAAAGTGAGCTGGCAGCACTAAGACAACTCAGGCTTCTGGGGCAATCCACGGCTAGGTCTGTCATTCCAAAGTGACTCCTGGGTCCACGACAAGCCATGTCTTTAGGATGATTTCTACTTCTGAACTCATCCCACAGTCCCAAGGCAATATAACGGTTCCACAGTCATCCCGCGGCTCTGAGACAATGCACAGTTCTATGACTCTAACCTTGAACCATCCATTCCTGGGATTGCCAAGATGGCCCTTCACGGGCAAAGGAATGCCGGAGGGCCCCTGGAGAGTGACTGCTCCGTGGAAGGGCTGTGCTTACCTGTTGCGGCAGACGGTGGCCCTGAGGCTGGCGCTCCAGCACTGGCGAACGATGAGCTGATCTGTGTGCACAGAGCATTGATGCCATCACTGTCGCCGGTACCGGGAGGCTCCATCTCAGGCACTGTGAAGTCACCGAACAGCAGACATGGCATGAGCAAACAGGTCCTGGCCTGCTGCAACCCCACCTTTACCCTGGTATGGCCTGGCCTTCTTTTCCAGAGGTGTGTAGGTCACTAGGTGACCACGGCCACTAAAATAACTGTGCACACGGACGTGTGTGGTAAGACAGTGGTGCCACAGCAAAAGTCAGTATGTGGCATTTGATTACTGACAGTCACAGGGATCCCAAACCAGGATCTCAAGATCTAAGTGACGACAACCAGAAGAGGTGTTGAAAACTACCAACAATGTGCATTAATTCACTAGTGCATTCTGCCAGATGGACAGTCAAGTGCCTAGACCTGAAGGAACAGATGCTGGCTGCATGGATGCTCACAGGCTGGGGGTCACATCCTACTGTGGAGGTCACCCCTGCAGGCCTGGCTTAACGCACACATCATCGTGGTAGAAATTAAACCATGCCAGCAAGACCAGGACATGGTGGTCTCATAAGAGCCTTGGAGAAACAAAGGCACCGTTTAGAGAAGCCATAGACCGGCATGTGCGATGCGCAGCAGATCTCTACGCTGTCTTCAAGGGCATGAGGTGAATGTGATGCAGAGACTCAAGTGGGTTTCTAGATCAATTTCTGTAATATCTGCATGTGTTCATCCAAAAAGGCAATGCAGGGTCTGAGGATGTGGCCTCCAAGTGTGATGGAGGTTCAGATGTGTGGTGTCGCTTGAGTGTCTACATGTACTCTATAGGTGTGTGTGTGTGTGTGTGTGTGTGTGTGTGTGTGTGTGTGTGTGTG